TTCGATTCGTCCCCTCATACATGAACAACCATGCTCTCCTTTCGTTTCCCTTTTGAGCCTGTTGGTAAGCTAGTTCACTTGAGCGAGTTTTGCCTTGTGCGTTGACACGCACAAATCGAGAAGGTACTAAATCGGCAGTGTGTGACACGCACAAATCGGAAGTGCGATGACACGCACAATTCGAGGATGTACCAAGGACTTGCCACGTTGATCGTGGCTCAAGGTCACGTCAAAAGGCGTGACTGCGGCGCGTGCGGGGCGTCGGGCGCTCGTGGCCACTAGTCGCAGTGGCGGGTTCCACGGAGGGTTGACAGGTGTTTTCATTTTGGTTGACCACTGTTAAATCCCTGAAGTGAAACTTCATAGGTGGTGGTGGTGGTGGTGGCGGTGGTGGCGGAAGAGGAGGAGGAGCAGGAGGAGGAGCAGGATCAGGAGCAGGAGCAGGAGCAGGAGCAGGAGCAGGAGCAGGAGCAGCAGCAGGAGCAGGAGCAGGAGCAGCAGCAGGAGCAGGAGGAGGAGGAGGTGAGAATGTAAGTGTCTGCATCATGGCGATCTCCAAGTGCTGGGAAAGCCTCACATATGCCTGCATGTATACCAGGGCAAGTGAGGACAGCACCAACACCAACGCTGCTTAAGGCCCGGTGACACGGGCGGCCCACGAACGGGGTTGTAGCGTTTGTCCAATTCTTTTTTCCGACCGGAAGGGATTCCGTCCTACTTACGTACTTTTACTGCTTTTACTCTTGGTTCACCCGCGAGCTCAGCTGACGAAAGAGTGCCTCTGGCTCAGCTGACGGAGGTTGCTTCGATTGGCCCACCCAACGGGTGGTTCCGGGGTTTCACCATTCCTCGTTGGAGGAACGTGCTGAGACGTGGCCGTTCCGACCGGTGCGGTACAGGTCTTGCCGGTGACCGGTCCCCGAAGGGAGAAGGAGCGACGCGCCTAGCGGCTAGCGTCCGTGCACGACGCGCCGTGAGCGCGTCGCGTCGCGGCTTGTTCCACATGTGACGTTTCGGTCCGCGACACCTGGTTTCTGTGCGTTTTTTCAACGGTTGGATGACTCCATTTCGAAAGCTCCGAACCCTGTTCACCTATGCGAAAGCTCCGAACCCTGTACATCCATCATAAGCATCCTGTTCGAACCCCAAGGTAAGGGACCGAGAACGAAGGGGACGGGGGAAAATCAGGGACCGGGCGATCAAATCCCCAGTTGGCCAGCAGACCAAGGGGATCCAATGGGCAGCAGACAGCGACACCCTATAGCCCGCCCAACTGTCCTCAAGCTGAATGGCAACATCTTCTATGCCTGCGCTTTTCGCGGGAGCATCTCAGAAGTGTCAAGCAGTGTCAAGCAGTGTCAACATGTCTATTTCTCTTTGGTGTGTGGACATAGCAGGGCCCCTTGCCAGTTCTCCCCGTCAGGAAAGCTTTATCCCAATGGTAAATGGCTCTTTTTTTTTGGAATAGCACTCCCCGCTCAAGAATCTGGGAAGAGCCAAGACATGCCATGACCATCCCAAAACCCAGGACCACTTGGTGATTCGCCCCCTTTTCACAATCAAATCCACCACCTGACCACCCCACCCCAAAGGCCACCAGGCCTAGCAGCCCAAAGGCCAGGACTTGCTGCGCCAGAACCACGCCCACCTGAGACCCACAGAGAGTCTCCGTCTGACCGGCGGAGGAGGGGAAGGGAAGGGGAGACGAGCGCCAAACGACCTACAGGAGGCGTTTCCTCTGACGCCACGTGCCCAGCGAGACCGACGAGCGCCTCACGCCGTTCGCGTCCGTCCCGTGCGCGCCGGACGTGCGCCTGCAGCTGCGTCGGTAAGATGAAGGGCAGCACCGCGAGCCAAAGAAAGAGCCATCCTGGGTGCCGCTACAGGGAACAAGAAGCTACAAACGGGGCTCCTGGCATCGCTACTAGTAACCAGAAAGAGCCATCCTGGGTGCCGATGTGTGGCGTCGCGACGTCAGTCACGGTGTGCTCCTGCTTTCGGGGGGTGACTACCTCAACCCGTGAGACAGACGCTCGGGGGTTCGGGTCGGTCAGCGAGGGGGTCGCGAAGCTCACCGGTGCTTGGGTCACGGTGAGACCTCACGGTCCGCCGCACCGAAGAAAGGGTTCCGTCGACATCGTAGAATGGGTTCGCGTTCCATTCAAAGAGATCGGACATAAAAGCTCCCCTAAAGAGGCCAAGTGCATCTCCCGCACCAGACATCAATCCGGTGTCGAACGTGAGCCAATCTCTGTCGAGTCTCTAGCAGATTCTTGTAGGATCTCCGGAACTGCCTGCCGTTTGCAGAGACCGATGAAGACAGCAAGAACCAGAGAAGCCGGCACTTTTTGCTCCTTCTTGGATGACAGATCCCACCTACATGCCTGGCTTGAGGTTTTGGATGATGCAATCTTTGGCCATTTGGAGTGGGGAGGCACCCAAAAATCATCGAGATTCGCTCCAACTCTCACCACACATCCCCCAAAGTGTCTGGAGTGTTTTGTATGTGTTTGTTTCATCACCCTCCGTTCTTGCCCCCTTTGCCCTTCGCACGCAGGAAGCCCCGCAGGGCTTCCCCTCCCCACTGCCCACCTCGTCGCGCGAGCTTTCGCACGTCTCCGCCGCCTCCGAGAGCTGGGTCCTCGGAGCCCGTTCCGTCCCGGTGGCCGCGCGCGGTGGACCGAGCGGCTGGACCGAGGACCGCGGTGGTCGACTTGGTTTCGGGTCCTTTTTTGGGGAGGGGGGTTGGGTGGAGACCCTATTTTGAGGATGAAACATGATGAAACATGCTTCGAACCCAGAAAAACACACACCTTGTCTGAGTGAAAAAGAAAGAAAACACCACATTTCTGTCAGATGTCTCGAATAGCAAACGGGTGATTCTGTACGGAGAGGATTTACTGGCCTTGTAGAGTGGGACTTCACTGCCTGCACTAATCTATATACCTTTGGTCTATCCTACAACCAGTAACAGTGGATGGTGATGGTTAGGTTGTAGGCCTTGCTCAAAAATAGTGATTTCTTTGCTTAGTGACGGCTCACGGCTCTACAGGTAAGTGACAGACCCGTGACCCAAGACCCAAGCCTACCCCTTTCAAAGTTCAACCATCATCCAAAGGTGGGGCTTCTTTGAGTCCTCAGCTTTCACCTCAAAGTGATGCCACTCCAATCAAGAAGACGTGACACTGTGAGAAAACCATCAACACTCTTCCATTTGTTGCAGGCACCATGGCCAGCGATTGCTGAAAACCACAAAACATATGGTTTTTGATGGTTTTTGAATGTTTTTGAGTATCACCAAGTGACACTTCGTCTCGCTTCCCAACACTGGAATCACCACCGTCAGTCACCGCTAACACTGGAAGGCCCAGTGGCAGGGCGTCTTGCATGACCGCATCCTCCCCCTCCGGCAACTTCAGCTTCGAGGCAGAGACCTCCGACGCGACGGGCGTCGAAGAGGGAAGAGAGAGGGGGCGAGAGAGAGAGGGGGGGGATGCAGACGCGTCAATTCAAGTCGAGCGTTGTGACACCGGTTCGAGAAGAAGCATTTGAGGTGAGATGTGCTGCTATCGGAATCGTTCGTACCTTATCCGGAAGATGCATCTATCCAACTTCTCTCAAAAAGTCAGGCAACGAGGCAGATTGAAGCTCAAACGCAAACGGGTGCAGCAACTGAGGAAACATTGGAGACCTAAACAGAAAAATGTGGTGTTGAATAGAATAGATGCCCTATTTGGGTAAAGAACTTTGAAAAACTGCCCTCTTTTTCCGAGTTAGACTGCCACATGTCTGCGCATTCGAATGTCAAACCACCCACGCGCGCGCGCGATGGAAGGCGCTTTCGTACCTGGAGTTTTCGTAGGACGAAGCTGGCAGCAGACATGCCCGGTGGCCTGGTCAGAACCTCACGCAGGGACCCCAGCCGCCGTGTTCCGGGCCGAAACGGAGCTCCCGGTCGCCGCATCGAACGGGCGTGCGGAGGCTCCGGTCCCTGGGTCCGTTTTTGGGTGAGACCGGAGGACCGCTGCTTCCGGGCGTTCAGGTCTTCATCGGACCATCTCGGAAAAACCTGCCCGCGCCGGGTGTTTGCCGATCGATTTGCAGAGTGCACATCGAACCTGGAACCATCCGATCGAGACTGCTTCAGCCTGAGACCCACGGCGTCTCACCCCACCAATCTCCGAGTGATGGGAGTCGGAAGACCAGAGGGTCAACCCTCCAGAGATACCCCCACAAACTGGCTGACGCTCCATCATTCAAAGGGTCGGCGTGTCCTCTGCGTCCTCTTCCCGCCCATCTCGGGCCAACCTCAGACCGACTCTGGCCACGTGCGGTCCCGGGACCGGGAAAACCACCGCCCGCGCGTGGAAAAAACACATCGCACGAGCGAAACCGCCGGACCGTCCGGTGTCGTGGGGAACGTGGTGATCTCGGTCCGCACCTGGGCGATCTCGCGCTCGGTGATGCCTCCATCAAAGGCCTGGCCGCTTGAGCGTTGACGGGCGGAGGCCGTCGAGGCCGGAGGACGTCGACGTGTGAAACAGCGGGTCTTCATGCGACCCGCCGAAGAGAAGCGCGTTGGGCGCGTGAAAAGTTGGGGAACAATGGGACCCAAGGGTGTGGGAAGAACTGCGACGTGTTCCTGGTTTGTGATGGAACCAATTGGAAGTAACCCGAGATTTCTTTGTACCTATATTATGATTGTGGAGTGATCTTCTCGGAGTTGAACACTTGGATATAAGAACCTATAAGGTGGACATGTCCACACACAGTGTGCTTTTCACCCACCGCAAGCTACCTATACCGGGTCTACCCACAGCAAAGGCAAGTCTATTTGTTGAGGTGGACGTTTTTGGACATCTCCTCATGAGGATGTCAACGTCTTAGGTTGCTCTGGCAAGTCTGGTGGTTTCCACCACCGTTGGAGCCGCCGCCGTGGTGGTGGAAACCACCACCGTGGGGCGTTCGTTTCTTCTTCCGCACCTCGAAAGACCCTGGACCCTTCGAGCGCTGCAGGACCAGCTCCAACTCCTCCGCTTTGGTCAAAGACCCAGTGACAGACCCAGTGACCAGCCCCACGACATATCCAAAAAAAAGGTCCATCATGATGGGTCCAACAATGGGGGAAAGGTGTCCTGCCTTCCAAGTCTTTGGTGCCCAACAAACCACTGGAAAAAGGGGGCGCGTGAACTACCAATTTGATCATTGGGACTACCTGTCAAGCTCTATATACAATGCATGACACCCACATGAAGTCCCTCATCTTCCGACACCCGACCACCGAGCTGTTGAATGTCTTCCCGCAACTTCTCTCTTACGCAGCAACTGGGAGGTGCCTTTTTGTTGCCCCGCGAGAGAATCGGAGGACGAAATTGACTGCAACCCAAAAACAAGGATCGCTTTCCCCTCCGAAGTACCCCTGAAGATTTGAGAAGATTTGGGAAGGATAAATGACATGTGATGACGGTTTCCTTGTGCTCTGCTTCACCTGCTTTTTTGCCCGTCCTCCTCTTCCAGCTTTCGTAGGTCCCAAAGCAATGCCGCTGGGAACCTGTCAACACAAAATAGGGCACCGGAGGTTCCCGAGATTGGCCTGTGACCGTGAAGACAAAATTACACCACCGTAGACAAATGAAGAGAAATGCTGCATGGCCAGAAAAGGGCGGACACCAGTGACAGAAAGGGCAGACACATCCTAAGAAAGAATTGAGAACCCCTAACAATAAGCTGTTTGGGGAAAAACTCCGTTCACTGGGTGCAACAACCACACGGTGGTCCACGCGAGCCGAGCACCGCTTGCCGCTGAGCGACGCTGGAAGCCAATGTGAGAAGACCATGAAGCTCTCACCTTTGCTAGAAAGATGGACCAAGCTCGGACCTGTTTTGAAAAAAGAACCTCACCCAGACACGACTAATGGGACTGCCACATATATATATATATATATATGCCTACACTGACCCCCCTGGCACCACCCCTGGCCGTTTCTCGGCAGTCCGGACTGGCAGTCCCAGACAGGTCGTGTCTGGGTCTCCGACTTGGAAGTGGATGGCATGGACACGACTGGAACACGACCTTCGACACGAAACGGGATGGTGTAGCCCCGTTCTCCACGTCACATCACGTCACCATGTGATGTGTCCGTCGGAGTGGGCACCGCACGACTCGGCACATGAACGAATTCGCGACTCGACGACTCGACGACTCGGCACGCCGAAGCCCGCACTTCTGACCGCGACTCTGAGGAAAAGACGCTCAGACTTTGAAAGATCTTCGATGAAGTCCGGGTCACCACTTGGAACACATTGCATATACCCTAGAAGTCCAGTTCGACTATTCTATTGACCGGCTGAAGTAAGGGAAGTTCCCTTTCAGGTCCCCTAAAGACCATTCTTTTTAGAGTCTTTGACTCCCAATGTATTATATATATATATATATATCAATCTACAGTATCAAGATACACTCCATCCATGAAAAGCAACATGTCACCGCTGGTTGCGGTGGCTGCTTCCTCCACATGGATATCATCAAGAAAGCAACATCTAAATGCATCCACTGGTGACTTCGGAAGCAATCTGCAGCCCTCATAAGGCCAAGTCACGATCTGCCCACACATGGCTTTGCCGATTGAGGTTCCTGGCTGCGGCGGAGGTATGTGTCGGTCCCGACTTCATGTTGGGAGCGCAACAGCACACTTGGAGAATCAATGCAAGGGCAGGCAGCTGAGGTAGCTTGCACACTCTTGCGATACGATCGTTTCTATATGAATTCCTCCCAGAGACCTTGGGACCCGAAACGGGACCGAAACGAGACCTTCAGGGGAAGACGATGTCCACGGCTGTCCTCGTGACGTTCACGAGGTCACTCCATGCTTGCTGCCCTCGTTGAAAGCGCTCCGTCGCCCTCGTGACGCGATGCCTCGGTGACGACGACCGACGGGAGCACGGTGGGGCCGACGAAGACGGCGGGGGTGGTGGGGATCGTCTGAGTGAAAACCCCATATTGGGGATCAAGAATTCGAGAGGCATGCGGCATGAACCCTCAACCCTTCTCTTCTGAACACAGCTGAGCTGCGCTAGCAAAATGCCAAGGAAGAAGGTACAGGCCACGAAGGGTTCGATGGGAAGCACCAAGCTGCCGCCTCGACACATCTGCGCAGGTCGACGCAACCCAACGAGCGGAAACCTGAAACGGCAATGGTGGAAGCCACCACCGGGCTTCCCATTTGTCCAAAGAAAGGAATCCCACTTGGAGTCATTGCTGCAAGCCTGAACGAGCGGCAACCTGACCAAAAACCTCAGCATCTGACTTCACCCCAACAGCGGCCCGGAATCCGGCACCTGGAAGGAAGTAGAAATGGAAGATGAAGACTGCCTGCATCTCGGATCTGTGTGAGAAAGCCCTCCCTGCATCTCAGATCTTTCCAATTTCTTTGTTTTTTGGTCATCTACTTGATGGGATTCACTGGGAACTGTCCCATATGATTGAAAGTAGACAATCTGCAAACCAGAGCAGAGCTTTGCCACGGAAGAAGAATCAACGCAGAGAGCGCCCACCGCCCGTGTCAGGACCGCCCACCGCCGAGATGAAGTTGAGAAAGGTCAAGGGCTTCCGCAGCCTCTCCACAGAACGGAGAGCACGACTGTCTCTCTACGACGGTCCACGCCCACGCGGTTTCAACGACCGGAACATGATGGACCTACGACGTCGGGGGGCGGAGCCGAACGGGGGGCGGAGCCGGGTCCGAGCGCCAGAGAGGTGGGGGTGGGGGTGTAGGAACTCCTCTGGATAGGAGATAGGATGGAGGCTCCGATGTCTTCAAGCAGCCAAAGAAGTCGTTTCGCATATCTTTTCATATCCCCTAGAAGTCCAAAGACTATATTATGACCGGCTGAAGTAAAGGAAGTTCCCTTTCAGGTCCCCTAGTATCTGTTCATCCTCCGAAGGGTCTTCGGAAGCCCATCCACCTCAAGAGAAGATCTGGCTGCAGTCCAACTCGGATGATACTGTCCAGGATGTCATGAGACTCCTCAGCGACGAACGATCACCAAGATCTGCAAACAAAAAGCACAAAAAGGATCTCACCCCCACAGAAGCTCCTTTTCTCTTGTAAATCCTGACGCAAAGGAGTGGTTCCAAAACAAAAAATGGGAAGTCGAAATGAAAACCACCTGTCACGTCTGGAGAAGATCCTGTCCTCTGTGACGTTCCTTTTGTTCGAAGAAAAGCGGCCTTCGATTTCGGTGCCAAACTGTGGACGAAATCCCGAGCCCCTTTTTCTCAAGCAAGGCACGGTCGCTGCAGGTGGAGCAACACCTCAAAAATCGCCGTCGTCGCAACAAACAGAGCTCAGCGCTCTTTTCTACGAAGCACCAGTGGGTTTGCAGACATGTCCAGGTTGGTTGCATCGTGGTTTCTGGCCTCAACTGCTGTACACACCACGGCATCTTTTGAATGTTACCCGGTTCGAAACCCGGGCTCCCCTGCGAGCTCTCCGTCCATCTTCGGGTCCTGGCGCCACGCGAAGGGGGTCGAGACGGTGTCTAGAAGAAGGCCTGGTGCTCATCAAGCTGAAGTACATACACCACAGGTCATCACCAAGAACATCTGCCAGGCCTCTCATTCAGGCTCCCAAGAACTGACCTACTGCGCAGATTCTTCGCATTTAAACCAAATAGACCAGAAAAACATCCACAAAATCGGCAGGTTCTCCTACCAGCTGATATGCCAGTGCTGGTGCCACAGCCACACAGAGTGGAAGCAACCTTAGGTGATGCTTGGACCCTCTCTGTTGCCGGCCCGTGCTCTCAAATAAATTCCTATGTCCTGTAGTTACCTAGGTAGCGGTCAAGAAATTGCATTTCGACGACGAACAACACTGAAATTTGTCATTCAATGAGTTCGTTTTATCCGTTCGTTCACATCTTCAAGGTGGCCTGGCAAGCACATGGCGGTATTGAGTCGGACCTAAATCCAGGTCTTCATGTTGCTTGGGCCGGCCATCCTATCTATCCTATCTGTTTAAACTGATGGACCCAATCAATAGAATGTCTATCCGGTGAAGCATGTTGACAAGTGACGCTCGAGCAAGGTGTTCATGACAAACATTCCGATCCTCTGTAAAATGATCCCAGGCTCACCCGCACAATGTCCACATGGTGCATCTCCACTTCAACACCAAAGAACCGCAAAACAACAGCAATCCCCCGAAGGACCATATAGGGATTAGTTATTCCCTGGGAGTCAAAGACTCTAAAAAGAATGGTCTTTAGGGGAACTGAAAGGGAACTTCCCTTACTTCAGCCGGTCAATGGAATAGTCTTTGGACTTCTAGGGTATTAGTTATGAACGTTTCGCTGAGAACGTTTCGCTGCTTCACCTGCTTTGATTGACTCCGTCTCTTCCGTCTCTTCCGTCTCTTCCACCACGGTGCTCGCCCAGGCCAGGCCTTGCAATCCTCGACTCCTGGACCAGACGACGACGTCGTAGTCGGGTTCGTTCGAAGAGAACGAAGAGACGGAGAGATCATTACGGGTGGAGGCCCCGGAGCAGGCTCTGTGAGTCCAAAAACACCCGCGAGCCATCAACCATCATCAACCCATGGTACGTTGGACCTTGTCTACAGAGGTCGTCGATTTCGGTTCTTCCCGTCGCGTCGAATCGTTCGCATACCCTGGCATACTGATCGTCGAATCGGTTCCGTCCCCGTCGGATCGTCGTCAACCCACCGCTTTGGGTCCACCGGTCCCCCGCTTCGACCGGATGTGGGTCGATCCCAAACGGCCCAGTGGATGATGGGGCCTGGTTGGAGGCCAACATCCAGCAACGGATGTGGCAGGCTACACCCATGACATCACTGTCCAAGTGACGGACACATCACCCAGTTGACTTCGCCACTCCGAGTTCGTACACGGCGTTTGGATGCGTGGCCCGCATGAACTCCGCCCGCCTCTCGGGCCCATCTCCGCCCGGCTCTCGCGTGGCCCATCCGAACCTCAGGTCGCGCAGCGCTGGGGGGCGTGCTTGGCTTGGCCAACTTGCATCAAAAGATGTTCCTCTGGGAATCCCCCTGCTTAGAAACAAGAAGCTAGTAGGAACAAGTGCATCGCTACTAGTAACAAGTGCCTTACTAGTAGTAACAAGAAGCTATTAGAAACAATAAGCTCTGTTAAACATGGTTTTGAGTTTTGAAAGAATGCAAAAGGGAAAATGGTCCAAAGATGCTCCAAAGATGGTCAAGAGACTGGACGGCGAACCGCCTGAAGTCCGACACCGCCGGTCGGTCGTGGTGTGAAGCTCCACGACGTCGTGGCGAAGGTCATTGTCGTCGCAAGGATCAACACGATTCGCCTCATCGTCTCGCCCGTTTCTCGTGGCAAAACAAACACAGTTGCGAGTCAAGTCGACGATCAAAAGAATGGTCTGACTAGGTGACCCGAGTGAAAAGGAAGATGCTTTTGAACTCGGTCGGTCAAAATATAGTCTTTTGGACTTCTAGGGTATACATATACTGTACTATATTTTAATATACTATACTTTATACGTACATAATATTATTGTGTATATTGAAAAACAAACACAATAATATACTGTACGTACGAACCACACCAGGCGTCTCACACTGCGAAGACGAAAGGACTGAAGAGGCATTAGACTAGTCAGCGTCTTCCAGTTCTTACACCGAACCAAAACCCAAAAACTCCCAAACCAATGGAGAACAAATCGCATGAGTCTATAGAAGCTACTAGTAACAAGGGCACTACTACTAGCTAGAAGCTACTAGTAGCAAGTGCATCGCTATTAGTAGCTGGAAGCTACAAGAAATCGCATGCGTCGCACCCTCTTCCGTGGCCGCGAAGCGCCACGCCCAGGCTCAGCGCTGAGCCGCGGCGCCGCGCCTGCGCCTGGCGTGGAGACGTGAGACGATGCCAGGAGCCCCGTTCGTAGCTTCTTGTTACTACTAGTAAGGCACTTGTTACTAGAAGCGATGCACCTGCTCCTACTAGCGTTCTTGTTCCTAGTAAGGCCACAACCGTCCAGGCCAAAGCGCAAAGACCGGGAATCGTCTGAGATCGTCTGGTGTCCAACAGCCCAACAATCTGCTGCCAACATCTGAAGGATCCAACAAGGCCCAACCAATCTCTGGTGGGATCGTCTGGTGGACGTGTCAAGTGGATCTATCCATGCGGATCAAGTGCGAAAACCTGAGCGATCCATTTGTTCCCCCTTTTTGAAGAGTCGGTGTCCAGTTACGATGGATCGAAGGCGACGAACGCACGACTGGCAACTTGCACTTCATACAAACGCAAGACATGGACGTGGAAACGAGCACATGGCAGGTTGGTTCTTGTCCATGTCCACGTAGTCACCTCTCCAGCTGTTTACCAATGAAGAGAACCGAAGCCCCGCGTCCTGCCTGACGCCTCGAAGCTCCCAGCATCGGATGAAGCCGCGCTCAGCTGCCGTCCATCGAAGCTCTGCGGCGCGTCCAAGCCGCCACTCGGAGCCCAAACTCCGGCGGAAACGGCCAGCGCACGACCAGGAGGTGAGGGACGGGACTTGTGTCGGTGCAGGACTCGGACGAAGTCGAGGCGATGTGTGATGTTCGGAGCATCTCCGTTCTCGTCTTCCCCAGCCAACCCCCCAGGGTAATTCTATTCATGACGAAGTATATGAATATAGTTATAAGGATGACGGATGATATAATATATATAATATATAATATGTAATATATATATAATATATTGTATATATAATATAATATATATATATAATATTCAAGCTATTCTTCATGTTCTTCCCTGAACTGTGAAGTCGATGTCCATCCCGACCGGTGTCTTTCACGGGACGGGACATGAAGTCACCCGTTCGCTCACTTCAGCACGACCGGCATCGACCAACGAGGGTGCCCCGGTGACGCCGGCATGAGCCAATGTTGTCGGCACAGCTCTTGGTGGACCCATGAGCTCCATGGCCAGCTTCTTGGTGGACATGCCCATGGCCAGCTTCTACAGATCGGTCTCAGCTGAATGATCTGCTTCATCTGCTCTTCAGCTTGCTGCAACACCAAGCTGGACGAAGCTGCTTCACTGGATCTGCCGTGGACGGTTCCAAAAACGGTCGCAGAGTCGGGCGCCGGCGAGGCGCGCGCGCGCGCGCGTGTTGGTTTTCTATCTCGCAAAGGCGATCATTCATCTTAGCTTGTTGTTGCCATATTGCTCTCTATCTCGGTTGCTTTCCTATCTGAACCTACAGCTTCGGGCCCACTAAAGCTAGCGCCTTTTTAGCTGGTCGTTCCTCCTTGGGCTGGGGCGTTCCCTTTAGTGGACCCTGGTGCACTACTCCTATTCAGTCGGTCAAAGGCAAAGGTTTCCCGTGCTCTCCTGCTGTACGCAAGGCGGATTGGCCGACTGGGAACAACGTGCTGCTCCGAGGCCAGGCGAAGATCAACAAGAAATCCTCTGGATGTCTTTGGCAGCGCAACAAAAAGGTTGAACCTCATTGACATGGTCTTCTTGATCTCTACCATGTCACATTCCAGCTGTCAAAGATAAAGGTTAAACGTGCATTCTTCTCTAATGAGATTTGAGGTAAAGGTTAAACATGGTCTTCTTCTCCAAAAAAACTTTAACCTCATTCCAGCTGTCAACGGAGGATGTCAACGGTGCATGGAGTAAACCCCACATGTGAGACGAACGCGACATCTCGTCATCAAGACATGTCTGGTGCCTGGCATCAAGAAGCTGCACGGCAACAAAGCCCAGCAATGTCAGTGTTTCGAGAGAGAATTGCCGAATCAATCCAACCAGAAAAAAGGAGGACCAAAAGATTTGGAAGACTTGCCAGACTTGACTTGTCAGCGGTTCTCTTCATGCCTGTTCTCAACACACAACCAAATGATGAGGCTGTGAGATGACAAGTCTCCAGCGTGCTGATGTTTCGACAAGTCCCTCCCATCCGACGGGTTTGCTTTCCTGCAAGCTAGCAAAAGGAGGGCGAGGCGCTCCGCACTCTGTAACTCTGTTTACTTCGGTTGTGTCTCGCTTGCCAACAGGAACCGGGGACACTGAAAATCCAAAAACCGTCAAAACCCCAAAGATCCAGACATAGCCGGACATGTTGGCTGAAAGAATCTATCAACATTCTGGGGTGTGAGGTCTCTGCTCAAAAAAGACATAAAAAGACTGTTTTGTTCACATCCAATAAACAAAACGAAGAAAAAGGGTTCTCACTTCTCTCACTAAAAGAAGAACAAACAAAAGCAAAAATCTACCAGGCTACAAACTCATGAACACCTACCTTGGATTCTGCATCCTACTCCCTACTTCCTCCCCGATATTCATGTGGGAGGGGCTCCGTTCCTCTCGTTCCTCTCGTTCCTCTCGTTCCTCTCGTTCCTCGTTGGTTTTGGCGAGACGAGACGGCCGCCGGTCCGTCCGGCGACCGCGGCGCGACGGCCGTGGAGCGCCGGGCCCGACCACAGGTGTGGCGGGCGCAGGTGGCGGCCACAGCGGTCTTCGCTGTGACCGCCGAAGGACACCGGTCTCCGCGGGGCGTGGCGGTGGTCCTCGTGTGGGGTGGAAAGGGACGACCCAAAACTAATTAATGTAAAAAGAGAACAAAGAACAAGAGTCGTTCCCCCTAAGATGCGAAATTAACTTTATAGTCATGTGTTCCTTTGTGTGTTCTGGATGGAAAGCGACGTCTGGACCTGCTTCGCACAGTAGATTCAATATATACAAGAATTGGCGAACGTTGCGGGCGAAAGCTGATTCCCATGGGCAGCCTTGTTTACTCAACAAAATCACAGACCGAACCGACTAACCTGTCCAAGTCGAAAATCAAGCATCATCACCATCATTGCATCATCGGAAAAGAAGAAAAAAATAACATCCGTCAGTTCTCAGTTCCCTGTCTTCGCCCGAAAAGGCTCCAAGGTAGGCAGCTGCGCGCAGCGTGAAACTGCCTCAACTTCTGTGCAGAAGAGGCACTCTGAGACGAGACGATCCGCTGGACGTGACGAGAAGTCGTCGCCTTCTTCACATCCGTGGCCCTTTGGACATGTCTGCCACCATCGTCGTTTCGCTGAAACCGGCAGTGCTGATGTTTTACGGCCAAAAGTGCTGAGCATGTCATGTTCTGTCATGGAAAAGAGCTTCCGTCCTTTTCTGTTCCCTACACAGTGAATCTACTGAATCTACTTCTATCATTTCGACGCTTTTCTCACCGTCCACTTTTCAGGATCCCATCTCACACCGAAAAAGAAAACACGTCTCCTCCAGAACCGGCGCGGGTGGGTCGTATCCATGTGTTCTCCGCCGGAACCGGGGACACTCCACTCCATCTTCCGCCACCCGCGCAGACATCGGTTGGTTCCACCTCCGTCAGGTGTATTGCATCTCCACCTCCTCCGCCGCGACCATCTTTTGAGCCAAGACCGCCGCGGTCCTGGGCCCGACTGACCCGACCGGCTGCGGACCCGGACCGAGGAGGGCGGACGGTTCGTCGGGCGGGCTAGCAGCTAGCATGAGGTTGGCTCGTCCGCTAGGCATATAAGGCGGGGGGTGGCTTTTTCTGGTGAAATGGCAGGATCAACTTCCTAACAAAATAGAACTAGGGATTTGTATGGATTTGTGTGGAAATGCCCGAACCCTGGAACAACCTGAACCCCACTTCGGTAGCCCAGAAAAGCATCCGCCTCCATCCGAAGAGACGGGGAAAAGCTGCGAAGTATGTGCTGTCCGAGCGGCGGCTTGAAGGAGTACCCTGAGTGTTGGACATGTGACGGAGCGGGTTTGCAAGATCAGATGCTTCTCCCAGCGCCAGGACTTCAAAATGCACGCTGATTACAAATTGTCTTGACCCGGAACTCCCAATCTGAAGCCAAACATGTCACTGTAACTAAACACCAAATCAGAAAAGGCAACAGTCCCAAACAATCTCTTCGTACCTTCCACCTGTTTCAACCTTTCAGCTGGTTCAAAGACAAACAACAAGAAGCGCCAGCTTTCAGCTGGGAGGGTTTCGGATAAGAGCGTCTCAAAAACTGCACAATGCCACAACCATGGCGAATTCTCCTTCATTCACTGTTGTGTCTGCCTAAATTCTGCCATGTCTGCATGCTAACCAAAAGCTTGCCAAGTGTCAAGGCAAACCTGTACTGCTGCCTCCCATACGTAGCCTGTTCAAGTCGGCACGTCAGGCTGTGAACTGCGAATCACTCCGGTTACGTTGGGAGTCGACGGTTGTGTCCTTCTACCACTTCGTTGGGAGGGTTCGTTGGGGCAGGAGGAATGCGGCGTGTCCTGGTTCGGTTCGTAGCGATGCCCTTTGCTCCGAACGTAGCGCCCTCTTGCTCCGTTGGTAGTAAGGCCAGGAGCCCCTAAGGGGGGTAGCATCTGACCGCTCCGTGCGAGTCGCGATGCCCTTGGTTCCGTTAGGAGCTTCATGGTCCCACCGAGATTTGCAGGTCACCACAGGTCCGCGTTCTCTGGCGGAACGCGCCCTGCCTGTCCCAGTCATCTCGCAGCGCCTGGAGTCGGTTCAGATCATCTGCTTCAGAAGCCCTGTACCCGGAAGGAAGATCACAGCTGTTCAATTGAAACTCTCCATTCATCCACGTATTAAAAAAAAAGGAGCTTCTGCAGCAACAAGTTAACAGAAGAAAGATTGAGAGCTTCTCTGAAGATGCTGATCAAACTAGCAGCTACCAGCCAGGTTGATTCCAAAGCCTGGCTGTCCCGCGCAGTCGTTTCACAAATCTTCTCGATCGGCAGTGCCAGGAAAGGCTCCTGCAAAAACCGCACATGTTGATCCGGCAAAGAAAAGGGGGCACGGTAGATGTTCCCTATCTATCAACGAGCCAAGCAATATTGTCGTACGAAAAACATGGGCTGCAAGGCCAATATCTTGAAGTGTGTGAGGGTTAGAGCCGGATTCGGACAGTAATCGGGCGGATTCTGAAACAGGATTCTGAAACTGGTGATCTCCACATCATGCGATAGCGTGTGTGCCTGTGACATCATCTTCGCAGCACATCCAAACCAACGTGATTAGCCCCCCACCCAACCCCCCCGCCCCCCCCACCCCCCAACCCCCCCTTGTCCCCATCGTGTGGTCTCGACATCACGCCAACCCCTTCATCATTCACAAAGTTGCGGAATCCTGACAGTTGCGGAATCCTAGTTTCGGAATCATAGTTGCGGAATCCTGCGCAGTTGCGGAACTCGACTTTATCCAATGTGTGAGGATGACTCAAAGTTCACTGTGGCGTGATCGCCAGCATGTGTCATTCTCCTCCAGCAAGGCAGCCACATTCTCAAGACCTGCGTCAGAAGAGTGCGGAGCTGTTTGCGGATCTCTGAGCTGTCTGCGCTTTGACAAGTCTGCGAAAGCCGCAGAAAGGATGCTCTACTCGGCATATTTTGGGGAAGAGGCAAA